ATGGTTAGAACTGTGTAGCGAACAAACCATATTTTAAATCAATTAATTTATAATATATATATATATATATATATATATGAGAGAGAGAAAGAGAGAGGGAGAAAGAGAGAGATAGTGGCACAAGTGTATGTACATATCCGCCGTTATTCGAGTTTCTTTACGTACAATAAAATATTTGTCTCAGCCGTTTACAATGTAAAAGAGATCAACAAATGTGTTCACCCGTCACATATATCCATATTTACGCATTTGACTAGAAATCATAATGCATGTTTAAGACGTCATAATACATGTTTAAAACTTGCACAATTTGTTGCACATGTCAAAGTGTCGACTGCAAATGAAGCTTAAGAATTTCAGGTTTATCGAGTTGATGCTATGAATGTCAACATCATTAAAAAAGGAAACAAAAATCATTTGAAATATAAAACACAAAACTCATAAGACAATGTTTTTTTTTTTTTTCATTTTTCCTTTCATTCCTTTTAATTTTCTTTTTTTTTTTTCTTTTCAACATCCACGAATGAGCAGGGTGTTTTCTTTAACCGTGAACAGTAACGCATCTACAATTCTATAGTCTATTATTTTGCACGGAATTATAATAGATACGGTTAATACATAGAACAGTATTGAAGCAATAACAATCTATAAGACAGAACGAACGACTGACGGAGACAAGCCTTCACTGCAACAATACGCGCTGGAAAGTGTGAGAGAGAGAGAGAGAGAGAGAGAGAGAGAGAGAGAGAGAGAGAGAGAGAAGAGAGAGAGAGAGATAGAGAAAGATTAGAGTGCGATAGCGGAGAAAGTGCGCTTAATAACAAACGCAAACGTAAAAACCTTAGTGTGTGTATGTATATATATATACAGCGTGCGATGAATAAATTGTCGTCTAAATTACGCAAAAAAAAAAAAAAATGTAAAATAACAATGACATCTCATTTTAACAGACATATTAACCAAAATTACACAAAAAATATCTTGAAATACTAAAGAGTAAATTTATTCAATAAAATCGCCATTGACTTCAACCGCGGCCTTCAGACGACTTCGGAATCTCCTGCAACTCTTCTAGACGGTTTCCTTTTTTAAGTTGTTGAATGTTGCCATAATCCCTGCCTTCAGTTCATCTTTTGTGTTACAAGGAATTTTGTTGGTCTCTCGCTCAACTGCGCCCAACACATAATAATCAAGGGGGGGGGGTTGCATCCTGGGGAGTTAGGTGGTCAGATGAAAGGGATGATGACGTTGCAGAAATTGTCTGACAGTCATGACTGGGTTCTCCTGCTGGTGTAGAATGTTGCAGTTTCCTGTTATCAGAAATAGGGTCTTCCAGCAGACACGCGCTTGACCCCGGGCAGCGCTACCTCCTCAAGGCCCATGATGTAGGCCTCTGTGTTGAATCTGAGGCCCTGTAGGAAGATAAATAGAGACAAAACGTCGCCAGCCCTAGTGATCTCTCCAAACACAATGATGTTGACTGGATATATCATACAAATCCTTCCGAATCCTGTGCACTGTTCTCAAATTGACACCTAAACTCCCTGAAATGTTTGTACTGGAACTTCCGGCGCGAATGCCAAGCAGTACATAACTGGCGGTATGAATTGTGTCATAGTGCTCTTTTTCTCACAGACGGTGCTCAACTGACCCTACTAGACTGTGCAGTCGACAAAATCAAAAACAAACAATGCACATAGACAAAATTAAAAATATTAAATGGCAACAATTTACCCACCGCACTCTGTTTACACACACACACACGCATATATATATATATATATGAAGACAAAAGGAAAACTTATCTTAGCCGAGGAGTTTTGTCCTCTGTTACAAAATAAAATCCTTGCATTTGCCTTGACAACCTCCCACAGAGGACGAAACGCGTCGGTTAAGTTAACTTTTTCTGTTGTTTTTATTCATATTGCGATTTACAGATACTCTATTTTACACACACACGCACACACACAAACACACGCATACGCACACACACACGCACACACACACACACATATATATATATGTCACTCAGTGTGTGTGTGTAAATGCGGAGGTGCGTGTGTGTATATATTTTTTATGTTCTCTAATCAGGCACACCAGCAAACACTTGCATACTTATGCAAATGCCGTAGAACTTACGCACATACTTACGCAATCACACAGATAACATTCACACCTAATCCCGTCCAGATACACATGCAGAGTTTTACACTAAGCTTCAAAATCGTTAAACATGGGCATCTTTTGAAAGAAAGAAAGAAAGAAAGAAAGAAAGAAAGAAAGAAAGAAAAAAAAAGAAAGAAAGGAAAAAAAAAAAAGAAAGAAACAGAGTGTGTATGACTGGAATATCTGAATCCATGATTATTTTAAGAAAACAATACTTTTCTTTACGAAGTAATTCTTTTTACTTTTTCTCGGCTGTATAATACTAATAATAATAATAGTAAAAACAACAACAACGGCAGCAATAATAATAATAATAATAATAATAATAATAATAATAATAATAATAATAATAATAATACTTCTGATAAAGATTTATTTCCTTGAGCGCCTTCTGTCTTGATAATATTTTCATCGAGCTAGCCACGATTCGTCCGTTAAGAGGCCTCGATTTTTCCTTCTTTCCTTCGATCTCTGCTGTTTCTGTTGCAGCTTATTTCGTGAGAAATGTAGTGAAAAAGAAAACATGTTTATACTTTAAGTCGTCGGTATGCAAGTTTTGAGATTGTCCTTATAAAATTTTAAAAAAAGAAGCGTAAAGTAAACGATCTGCTGGGACGACAATTATAATTTACGAATAGGCAATCAAAACAAAAAATATATATATCTGAAGTTGCAACGTTCTTTAAAATGTGCAAAAAAAAATGCAAAAAAAAAAAATAAGTTTACAAGACAAAACGAGCTGTCTTAATAATCCAAATATGTTTACTTTATTTACTAGGTTCGTTCTTAACTCGACAACAAAGGACATGAACGAATGTTACGTTGTGATTAATTCTATTTAAGATGTATCTATTTAAAAAATTAAAGAAATAATTTCGAACGATACTGATTAATGAGCAAGAGAAAAGTTACACTGGAAATTTAGTCGCAGAAAATAGTATTGAAATTCATATAAACAAGCGAATAAAAATATAACGAAAGCGATACTTATCTAAACACGGTAAAAACAACGGAAGTAATAATATTTTACTATAATAGTAAGCGAAATACTAAACAAGCAATAAAATGTAAGAGATTATAATATCAATGGCAAAACGTAGGCGAAAGAGAAGGGATAATTAAGTAGTAAAGAAAACAGAGCGTATTAGAATGGGTGTAAGTATTAACTATGGTACTATACGTCTTAACAACTACAATATTCGAAGAAATGTAATAGCAACAGTTTGAGTAACAGACCATGCACACGAGGAAGGATATTTTAGATTAAGAAAGCCTGCAACCGAGAAATTAGTCAAAATATAAAATTACTTTGTATTATTTTGATGCGTGTATTCATTTGTTGCATCGGCGATACAACACTGATTTTTACTGGGACAAGAAACCGCTACGTATTGTTTCATTGTCGTTCTGCTCTTCTTCTTTTTCTATAATTTTTTCCCTCTTTTTTTTTTCTTTAAGATATCGTCTTTCTTTCTTTCTTTCTTTCTTTCTTTCTTTCTTTCTTTCTTTCTTTCTTTCTTTCTTTTGTCCGTTCGTTCGTTCGTTCTCTCTTCTCTCATTTTTTTTTCTCCATCCCCTTGCATCTTCGGATCGTTTTTTTTTTTTTTTTTTATATCTCTTTTTTTGTTTTCGTCCTCTCCCTCTTCCTCTTCCTCCTCCTCCTACTCCTCCTCCTCTCTCGATCAGGAGCTTAACCATTCTATAGCTTTGCAACTGCGAAAGAAAGGAGACCTGACGGCACAACACCAAACATGGCTATAACATCTGATAATTTGCAAGTGTAACTTACTACACGTCTAGCGTTCTCGGCCCACACACACGCACGCACGAAGGCAGTTCGAATGAAACCCAGGAAGACGCACACATTTGCATAGGCACGCCCTATCGCTTACATGCTTAATGCGTATATGTGTATGCATCTGTGCATGTATAATCAGTGGTGCATTTGTTTAAAGGATTGTAGATATAGTGTGTTATATATCAGAACAACAAATTTCACTTTCACTTTCACTTTTGAAGATCGTTTCCTTCTTTTTTTACTTTTTTTCCTTACTTCTTTTTTTTTTTCGATTTTACTGTCTGCGATTTCTTTCACCGTGCCGTCCTCTCCGCTTGATTTTCTCTTCTTCAAATCGCTACCTTCGTTAGTTTTCTAATTTGCAACAGTTATATATATATATATATATATATATATATATATATATATATATAATTTTTTTTCAATTAAGTTCAATATCTTTTCTTTCTTCTTTTGGAGTAATTCCGGTATTGAAAGTTAAGTACTGGGAGGAGCTCTTTTGTCATTGTCACTGCTACAAAGTGCATCGTGCTGGACGCTTCTCGACGCCTGTTATAGAGTAAACAGGCACAGTTGCAACTGTAGTTATTAGGATAGTTAAGCTTAGCCGTTCACTTGCTCGCCTGCCCGCCCATCAACTGGACCGTCATTCAGACCGCATGATCAAAGAACGGTTCTTTTTCAACAGCTACCGTTATCAGTAAAAATACAAACTGCCAAGGAGGACGTCACTGGCATTGGATCAACGTATATAATTAATGAGATCTGAATTAAATTCAACCGGGAAAATTATTCAAGCTTGTATACACACGCTCAAAAACCAAATCTGCTCGCAGAGCAAACAAGAAAATAATACCGGAAGAAATAAGAACTAAACTAACGAATGGTGAAAAAGAAGAGGAACATTTAAAAAAAAAAGATAAAAACAGCGAGTCAGAATGGTCCAGTTTACGAGTTGGAAGATTAACGGAACCAAATGACAAAGAATAAAAACGAAGGTCTCCGTCGCTGAAGTTAACACCCCAAACAGAATGAAATGTTTGCACCGTCAACCCATCCATGGACTGCCGGAACGACCGAAATTAAAGTGCGAGGGAGCGTTTCTGTGCGACCGGCTTACCCGTTGCAGTTTAGTCGGAAAATCTCCATGGCAGTTTTTTTCGCCATTGTCTTTTATTCGGGGGTCCATTCGGCACAGCTGCCAAAAGCGAAACCGGCGAAAACGACACCAACAACAGCACAGTGGTCAATATCAGTCCAGCCCGGACAGCAATCCAAAATCTCCCATCCAACTAAAGTTCCACCACCACCACCACCACCACCGTCCACATTTACCTCCGCCTCGCCCGCTGACATTCGGCAGGGGAATTCGTCTGGATACGCGTCTACCTTTCTACATCTCCCTTTGTTGACATCGCGCCACGTCATCGTAAAACTGGCTTTCTTCTTGCCTGATCCTTTTTTCTGTAATCAAGTCCACCTTGAACACCTACAACGCTGGACGCGAAATGTTGCTCGGGCAACGGAAGAGCTTTTCATAACCGGTTCAAGCCCCGACGGTCCCGGCACAACTTCGGGAAATACTCTTACCGGTTCTTCACAAGCCAAAGCCACTGTGACTGAGGACAGTGGGCGAGGCCCGACTTTGAAACTTAGCTGGCACCCGGTTTGTCGAGATGCAGCTGCTGAACTTTCCCCGATTTACGGACGGAAAACCCCGGACCGGGTCGGTAGTAAAGCAGAAAACCGAAAGACAGACCGTAGAGAAGACGGACGAATTGGAAAGAGATACCGTGATGCCATTCTTTACAACCTATTTCAAGATCCAGACACGTGCGTCGTGGTCAGTACGCCCTTAGGAAGTGCTGCCAGGTCAAGAAGAAAGGGTCATCACAGGCGTGATGTTCAAATTAATTTACAACACAAGATGTCCAGCAGCCATTTGAAATATTTCGATGACACGGGCAGTTTATCTTCAGCAACCTCGCAGGAGGTCTACGATGGAGAGAGGATAGTGTACACATGGGATGATGAGGATTCCGAAGACGTTCAATCGAAGGATGAGGATTATTACCACGATGTCTCTTCAATGGCTTCGATCCTGTGGCAAAAATCGTACATCGGTGCGTCGGGGACGGCGGCCATGCACGATGCCCAGGCTGAACCGGTGTTCACTCTGACGGCAACGATTTCAGGGATGGGCAAAGCGCTGGCAGCGTTGCTTGACCATCTTAAATGGCAGCATGTCGTCATTTTGTCCGGCAAAGAAAAATATTGGTCAGAGTTTGGCACAAGAATATTTGTCGAACTCACCAGAAGAAATTTCAAAGTGAAGTCGTTTTCATTTGATTCGGATAATTTACTTTTGGACACAATGGGGGCCGACAAGAATTTCAGCTCTTCTGATAAAGGTAAGCATTTCTTATCTATCCCAGCCGCTTAA